ATTTTGTTTGGATCTTCAGATAAAATCTTATGTAATGAATTCTCAAAAATAATGAGTAATAAGTTTGAAATGAGCATGATGGGAGAGCTTAATTACTTTCTTGATTTTAGTGTAAAATAAATAAATATTAAAACATTTCTTAGCCATATCAAATATATCAAGGATATTCTGAAAAAATATGAAATGGATAGTGCTAAGCTGATGAACACTCTAATGAGCTCCATGATTCAACTAGGCAAAAACCCGAATGAAAAATTAATCGACCAGAAAAAATATAGAGGAATAATCTGATCTCTCCTCTACTTAACTGCTAGTAGACCAGACATAATATTTAGTGTGTGCCTTTGTATTTGTTTTCAAGCTGATCCTAAATAATCACACTTAAATGCGATCAAGAGAATCCTTATATATCTACTAGACACTCCGATCATAGGGATTTGGCATCCTAGACACAGCACTTCCTTTGAAATATTAAGGTACTTAGATTCTGATTTTGTAGGATGTAGTGTAAATAAAAAAAGCACCTCTGACACCTGCCAATTCATATGGCAATCTTTAGTTTCTTGGTCTAGTAGGAAGCAAAATTTTGTAACCCTCTCCACGGCCGAGGCAGAATATATAGTAGTAGAAAGTTGTATTGCACAAGTACTATGGTTGAAAAAATAACTTCTAGATCTTGGATTACCCGTAGGAAATATCCCAATCAAGTGTGACAACACGAGTGCAATCTGCTTATCTAAAATCTAATTCAACACTCTCGAACAAAACACATAGACGTTAGACATCACTTCATAAGAGATTATGTAGCTAAAGGAGACAATAGAATTACAACATACAGCTACAAGAGATCAATTGGCAGACGTATAGAATTACAACATATAAAACTTTAATCGAAGATGTTTAAATGTTATGTCACGTAAAAATAAAAATGTTCAAGAGAAATACGAGAAAAATGAAAAACCTACAAAAATGTTTTCTATAAAGAAAATGATTTAGAGAACTTCAAAAGATGTTTTTCGATTGATTGCGTTGAAGCTTATGAATTGAGCACTTGAAGAAAGAAAAATTATAGCTTTCCCCTCTCAAATTTTAGCATGAAATGAATTGAATTGAAGAGGATATGTGCTGGAATTTTTAAATTTAGGATCAACCCTCGCATGAAGAGAATGTGGGGCAATTATATGAAGAAAATAATTTAAACTAGCTAATTTTAAATCAATCTAATAATCTAACATCATTTTATCAAATATTAATATTATATTTTGTAAAAATTAATTTATATTATAAAAATATTAAATTTAGTATCTAGCAAATAGTTTGTGGCATTGTTAAGACAAAAGATCTTCAAATACCTCCAAAAATATATAAAAATTACTAGGCAGCTTGCAATATTAAATTTGGGTAATATTTAAAAATTATTATTAATGTAATTTAAATCAAAAGTGAGCGATGTAATCTATCAATTTATATCAATAAAATCTCATAAAGCCAATGGAATAAAAATCAGCCTAAATTGAGTGACTAGAAAATTGATTTTATTAAAGTAAAAAAAGTTATCAATTTTAAATGTTCATACTAAAATATGAAGTTGGATAATATCTCATATTTATTAGTAAATTTGCATAATAATTTTATTTCAAAATTAATACATTAAATATACTATATAAAGTTTATGCATATCAGCTTATTACTTTTTAATAACCTTATTAAGTAATATATAAAGTTCATGCATATGGCTACCGACTGCTGTCGGACTTCAACCATACCTTTGTCGGACCACCGCCCGACCACTGACCACCGCCCGTCCACCAATGGCTTCATCCCGACCTTCGTTGGACCACCGCCTGGCTATCGAACTATCACCAGGTCGTCGACCACTGCCAAACATTCACCCAACCTTTGATCTCCGTTGGACTTCAGCCCAACCTTCGTCGGATCACCAATCCGCCTCTGACTGCCTTCGAACTTCCACACGGCCACCAAGCTTCACCGGACCTCCGCCCAACCTTCGTCGAATCATTCTCTGCTAGCTACAGTCCATTTAACCTCTATCTCTTGAATACGGTCACTCCGACCTCCATCGTCTATCGACTACAGTCCCCTCCAATCTATGTTGCTAGACAACAATCTTTCTATCCACTATTGCTCGCTAATTACAGTCCTTTCAACCTCTATCGATATATAATGGTCTTTCTTATCACTGTCACTCACCGATTATGGTCCATCTGATTTCGATCATCAGACAATGGTCTTTCTAATCACTACCACCCACGGACTACGATTTTTCAATCTCCAAACAAATGCCCTTCCGACCTCCATCGCTAGACAATGGTCTTTTCGACCTCCGTCGCCCACCACTGCAGTCCTTCTGACCACCCTCACCCGACTACAATTTTTTTGAACTTTGTCGCCCGCCAACTATGGTCTTTCCAACCTCTGTCACCAAACAACGGTCTTTATGACCTCCATCGCCCACCGACTACACTCCTAACCTTCACCACCTGGAAATGATCCGTTTGTCCTCCATCATCCCCCGACCATAGTCCTCCTGACCACCCTCACTCAACTACGGTCATTCCGATTTTCATCGCCCTCCAACTTTCGTCCTTTCTGACCTCCGTTGCAGGGCAACGATCATTATGTCCTCCGTCACCCTCCGACTACGGCTCTTTTGACCTTCATCTCTTGACAACAATCTTTCCAACCTCTATCGCCTGCCGACTATGGTCCTTCCTACAATCGTCACCCAAATATGGTCTTTCCTACCTATGTCGCCAGCCGACTATGGTCTCACTGACCAAATGAACATATCAATATTTGTTCTTCCAATTTTCACCATGTAATGCACTCTGTATGATTTATATTTGCTACATCAAACCAAGGCCTTCCTCCCAAGGAAGGACATCATTTGTAATCAACTATAAATACTAGTGGATTCATTCAAACTAGGCGAGGCCCCATGGTTTTCCCCCTTTTCTGGGGTTTCCACGTAAAACCTTTGTTCTCTTAGAAACGCCACACCCTCTTTTATCTGATTGTGTGCTGGATCTTCGTATAAACTTAAGACGTTAAACTTTATATTTCTCTACTGTTGTGATATTCTTAGACGCAACAAGTACTTTTGTATTCTTTCTATAAATTTGATTCTATATATATATGAAGCATTTAAAACTATCAAAATTTATTAACATGAAATTTTTTTATATCTTATTTTAACTTTTTATTCTTAATTAAAAATATATAAAGCAAATTAAGATTATGAGAAAACCATACCATGCAAATAAAATTCTATGAATCTCTAAGAAACTTCGCAATGTTTATAACCTTAAGTATATAAAGCTTCAAGATATTCATCTTGATCAAACTTGGGTTCTTCTATGCTCAATTGATCAAAATAGGACAATATATATTACATATAAAAGTCTTCTTGGATATCTATTAAACTAATACTAGTGAAATACTTAGCACGTAAATTAGAATATCCAAGTTAATATTTTTTTCTCATCAAAATTACTAAAATCGAACATGAGGCTTATGAAGTTAATAAAATTGTTGTTATAAAACCACTACAAAAGATAACCGACCTTAGTGACTTCACTTCATTGATAATTTCAATGAGAAGAACATTTGGAGAACTCAAATGCTTACTTTTCAAAAAATATTGTAATACTTGTTTGTTAAATGTTTTGAAGAAATAAAGTAGTATATTATTTATTATTAAGCATAATTTATTTTAAAATTTTAACTAGATTTAGTTTGATATTTAATCAAGCAAATATTTGGATGACAACTAAATTTTTTAAGTACCCTTTTAGATTTTTTTTTCCCATTTGGGTTAAAGTAAGATATTTCATTCAACGCAAAAATAATCGCAAAAGAGTGGAAAATGATAAATTATTTTGTGCAGAGGAAGGACGCAGCTCTATGTCTGGAGGTGAATCAGGTGCAGCCACGTCAGCGGTACGGAGCCACAGTACATAGCGAAGGAGTGACATTGCGCGTGCATTCTGATTGGTCTCCGAATGACGTTTGATGTCCACATAAAATAATTAATTGTGGAAAAGGCCTTGATGATAGTTGTAGCAAAAAACCTATATATTGAAAGGTAAGCGAGAGGGGAAGTCCTTTAAAAAAATGTCAAAAAAAAAAGTAAGAAAGACAAACTGCTACAAAAATAACTAAATAGCATATTTCATTAGGACAAAAGTGATGATGAATAATTTATTACTTTTCCCTAAAGTAAAGTGTTCATGAAAATTTTAGAGGAAGAATTCCTTTAAATTGCCTTAAAATGTCATTTGGGAGCGTAACTGAGGAGGAGAGATTGACAACCCAACATTGGCTAATAATGCTCTACAATTTTCCTTTGATGATGGATGTGGGAGAATTTGTAAGAGTAGTTATAAAGGAGAATATTTTTTTGAATAATATAGAACATGAAGGAACTAGATTTCCGGGAATCAAACATCGGCTCTATCATGAATTTCTTAAACCCTAAATTTAGATGTTCTATTAATTCTATTATAAGAAAATTGGAGGTCATTTGCTTGAGCAGATTTGCCAGCAGAGAAAGAATTTTATGATCATGAAAGTCAATTAGCTTTTACCCTTTGGGCTTCTAATTAGACCCACAACTTAAGTCAATCCAACATCTTCGAAGCTAACATCAATGTCATATAATTTTGAAATTGAACTTTAGGTTAGTGGAATCCTAGTCAGGCATTAACTATTATGATCCTCAGGTCATTTCTCCTTATTATAATTGGTTTGTAAGAGGTTAAATTTTAATTAAATTTATTTATATTCATTTTACTTATTTTTTAAAAATTTAATGAAAGTTTTTTCAAAAAAAATCCATTAAATTAAAATTTTTCATGTGGCACAATATAGGGAATAGCTCGTAAATTTAGATGATTTGAGTGATTTAAAACCCCTTGATGTGTGAAAGAGGTAACATAAGAGATACAAGATTAGTATAAAAAATTCTTAATCTCACTAGCAAAAGTTTAAAAATAAATTTAATAATTTTTAAATTTGTCGTTAAATTATTTACAATTGTTTTCCAAATTGCTGTTAATCCATAAGACAGTTGCTTATTTGAAATGCAACGTATTTAAAGAATAAGCCCAAATCCCAGCCCATAAAAAAGCCCATCAAGAAAAGCAAGGGGAGAATGAATGCGAATAAATCCAAACGGACTCCGGCGAGCTCAAGCACTAAGAAGCCGGCGGCGATCCCCAAAACTCCTCAGCGCCCTCTCCGTTTTATCGAATCCCTCGCTCCAGGATTTCTTGAAAAGCCAATACGACGATCCAACGCCGACGGTCACCGGAACAAACGGCGGGAGAGATCTCCGCCGACACCGTTCTTGATGGATGCTGCCCATCTTGTGGAGATCAACCTAATCTCCGCTCAAGCGCTAAAGTCCCCGCCGGGATCTCGCCGTTTCCAAACCTACGCTGTCGCGTGGATCGATCCCGCTGCCAAGCTCCGCACGGCCGTCGACCGTGGCGGCGGCGAGAACCCTACCTGGAACGAAAAATTCGTGTTCCGTGTTCCCGCCGCCCTTCTCTCTCCTGATTCTTCCTCCGCACTCTCCGTCGAGATCTACGCCTTAGGAGGCTGGTATTTTCCCGACTCCCTCGTCGGGGCCGTCCGCCTCCTCCTGGACAATCTCGGCCTCCTAAAGCTTCCTCCCGACTCCCCCTCTTTCGCCGCCGTTGGCATTCGGCGCCCCTCAGGCCGCATCCACGGCATCCTCAATGTTGGCGCCGCGGTCCTCTCCCGAGTCCCCGTCTTCGTCTCCGAGGCGCTCGCCGTAACCTCAGCGGTCGGTTACCGCGATTTCATTCGCAATGGCGCTCGGCCGCAACTCCGAAGGGCCAACTCGTCCAAGCTAATCTCCACTCCACCGTCGCCCGTTGCCGCGGATCTGGCGCTCAAGGAGTGCAATAGAGATATCAAGGAGGATGAGAGTAATTGCGGCGGCGGCGAAATGGCGCTGTGCGGTCTAGGTTTTCCGAGAAAGATACATGCCAGCCCATTTGATCAGAATCTAGCCATGTGGGGATTCCATGAGAAGAAGTACCTCCGTTGATGGACAGTTCTGAGTTCAGATCATGATCTTCTTGATTAAGAGTACCTTGTGGAACAGTTGATGCTAAACTACATTTGTAGGGAAAGTGAAATAACTGTGAATTTTTTAATTCCAAATTTTTGATATATTCTTTTATTTTGACAGACTTACAGACAGAATGCTTAAAATTATTATTTTTAAATATTTAATACTTAAAATTATTATTACCTGCAAAAAATTCTGAAAATTGTAAATATCGTTAAAAAAGTAATACCTTCATCGCCTTCTTCATTACAATCTTTCTTTGAACTCCTCATCTTTCATATGCCTTTGATTTGTCACCTTTTGCTAGTCAAATAAAAATTATTAAATTTTTTTAAGAAAAAGTTGAAGTTCTTTTGTGTAAAGATTTTCAAGCTGCTCATATCTATTAATAGTATGGTTGATTTTTTTTTTTTTGTAAAAACTTTCAAGTTATTTTGAAGATTTACTTCATTTATATTTTATAGTAAGGTTAGATAGCTTAAATTGTTAAGGATTAAACATTTTTTTTTTCATTTTAATCCAAATAATTACACATTATTATAATATTATCAAAAAAATTTTGATGAAGCACGTTATTATAATATTATCCAACCTAATTTTAGGTTCATGATTGGAGGGATGTATAGGGGCGGATCATAAAAGTTTTAAAATACTATGGTATTTAGGCACTTGCCCCAACATAATTAAACACATTATGTATAAATGTAATTCTTAGATAATGATGAACCAAATACAAAGAGAAATAATAAAGAAAATTCAAAAATATCTTTACAACAAAAATTTATTCTAGGGGCGCTGCCAAAAAAAAAAAGAAAAAAAAATTCTAGGGCGCTGACCTGACAACCTAACCGGGCAGGTTGAACCTCGCCAAGGGGTGCTGCCCCCTTGGACCCCTGATATATCTGTGAAGCGTACAACAATGAATAAATAGGTGTCGAGAGGCAACGCCCTCGGAATAAATTTTGGATGTAAGGATATTTATGAAATAAAAAACTTTACATTGTTACTTGTAGATCTTGCTCATATAATACCAATTGCTATAGTAGCAGTCGAATGAGCATTCTCCGCTATAAAAATTTTAAAGAATCATTTATGCAATCATATGAAGACTCTTGGATGAATGATTACTTGATTATTTATATTGAAAAATATTTTTTTAATAATATTTATAAAAAAGTGATTGCACAATGATTTTAAAATATGAAGACTCGAAGGAAGAAAATAGAGGTATAATGCAAGAAAAATATGAATATCATGTGCTTTTGATTGTATGTTTTTTAGTTATATAATTTATCTTTTTTATATAATAAGACTAACAAAAAAATTTAAAATAGTTTGATGCATGTCCCAAGCCCATATGAAAAAATTGAGGGTTTTTCATATTCATAATTTGTGCCTCACAAAAAAATCCTAACTTTGCCATTGCATCTAATGAAATTCGCAGCACCTCGATTGCTTGCACCAAGACGGAGGCTAGTTTTTTTTTTTATTTTTTTTTTATTTTTTTTTTTTGAAAGATGCAAATTGCATTAAAATAAAATGACGTAATACAAACTACTAAAGAAAAGCAATACCATCACATTCCTCCTTTAACAACTTAATAAAGGAAGGAGGAATACTACCACTATCTAACTCATCCTGATAAAAAAAATTATTAATAGCAAAGTTAGCACACCAATCTGCCAACTTATTACAATCTCTAATAGAAAAATTGGAAGCCACGTTCTTCAAGTCATTTAGAAAGGAAAGCTCCACCCAATATTTACAATTATTTTGCCATTCTTTAAACAATCTTAAGGAAATTTCATCACATTTACATTATCCCCTTCAATAATGATTCCTTCCACTTGAAACATCCCATCCTTCATAAACCATTCCAAGGATGAGATACCTGAGAGCTCCAAGTGAAATATATCCCAATGAATATAATTAAAACCAAAAGCACATAATAACCTACCTTTATAATCCCAGAACACACCACCAATATCAACCAAATTTGATCTTGGTAAGGAAGCATCTACATTTACTTTTATCCAATCGGGAGGTGGAGGGTGGCAACAAATAAAAAACAGCTGAGAAGGCTGATTAATGCCCAAGAGGCCCGAGCAAAAACTAAAATGAACTACATAAGCAAAGCTGATGGAATTAGCTGCAATACCATAATTCCATCTTCATAATCTCCATGAACTAGTTTGTTCCTTGATTTTCAAATAAAATAAGCTGTTGAACAATACATATTAGCTAAGAAAGAATTTTGCCTAGCCATAAATTCCAACCCCTTATAACAATCTTCCAAGGATGAAATCAAAGGCAAAGAAAAACCCCATCTGTTCAAGCAATTGATAACCTGAATAATCTTCCTACAATTCACCACTATATGCTCGGAATCTTCCATAATACCACAACGTCTTGGGCAAAGGTTTCTCTCCTTCAACTACCTATACATAAGAAACTTAAAAGCAGGTAGGCCATCATTAAATAATATCCACCAAAAAATTTCCACCCGAGGATTAAGCTTCAGTTTCTTAATCCATTTCCAGAACTCCTTTGATAGCACCTGATTCGAAGCCTCCTAAGAAAACGTAGCTAAAGACTTTCCAGAATTCTGATAAAATAAACTCAAGAACAAAAAAAGAGTAAGAGAGAGAATGTCTAGTTTTTAGATAATATTTCCACATCTTCCATTATAGTGTTGGGATGAAGTAAATGTTAGTATGATTGCTTCGAAGGTTGGTTTGCCTTATATAATTGATGGAAATATGTTTAAATGGGGTAAGCGGGAATTTGCTAGAGTTTGTATCCGCATTAACCTTGATGGAAAATGTTAGGTGTGTGGGTGGAGGGTGCTACTAGAGATTTTTTTTTTAGAAAGTTGAGAATAAACGTATCTCAAAATTATGTTATAAGTACGATAAAATTGATCATTTTAAGAATTTTTGTTCTGAGCTTGGAAGGGAGGTGGATCTGGGTATGTAGCTAGATGATTGGATAAAGTTGATGGTCGATCTTTGAGAATTGAAGAACCTATCAAGGATTCAGCTTTATCTTCAGTGGTTAATAATGTAGCTGAAGATAGGAAGAGTGTGATTGATGATTTGGATTTAAATTATGGTCCTTGGATCCATGATGACTATGGCAATGAAATTTTTATAAATTATTGGAGAAGGAATGAGTTCAAGTTTAATTCGTTGAAGAATCGGGGTCCTAATGAAATTCTAGTTGATGGAATTACCTATGATAAGGTTAAGGCTTCGATTGCAAATGATGTTGTGTAGGAAGATGTTGTTGTTGTTCAAACTCTTAGTCAGGATTTAGCGTATGTTATGGATGTTCTTATTGTGAATTCATCTCAGAACTCTCATAATTTTGGTGTAGTTCTGGATACTAACAGTGATGGTAATTATGCTGATCTTAATCCTTTTAATGTGTTGAATGGGTGAATGATGAGGAGGAGGTTGTGGTGAAAGATGGTGTTAAAAAATCTCATGTGGAGGTTGGTACTAGTGTACTACATAATTCTGATAAGTTTGGGGAGGTTTTGGAAGAATTGGCCTGTGGGAAGAAGAAGCTTTCTAAGGAATTAAAAAGGTTAGGCCCGGTTATGTAGGTTCCTAGGAATAGGAATGTTGATGGGGGTGGTAAAGACAAGGGCGGGGAGGTTTCCCCTTGTGTTCATAAATGTCTTCTATTGCTTTTTGGAATTGTAAAGGAGCTAGGAAAAAATAAGCTTCTCTTTATTTAAGGGATTTTGTGAAGGAGTTTGATGTTTTTTTGTTGGGTTGTTGGAGACTAAATTATCTTTTGTTGATATAAATGAAGTTAACAATATTGTTGGTAATGAGTGGGATTTCTTTTGCATTCCTTCTGAAGGGTTGTCATGTGGTATTATTGTTCTTTGGAAAGCTAGTGTTGCTTCCTTTTTTGGTGTTGGAGTCTTATTCTCAATTTGTCATTGACGAGTTGAATGTTTTGAATAAAGTTGTGTGGTTAATTTCTTTCATTTATGGAAATAAGGAGGTGTTTAAAAGAAGGGAGATGTGGAGTAGAATTGAGTATTTTTCATCACCTAATGAGCCTGCTATTATTGGGGGATATTTCAATTATGTTCTCTTTAGGGAGGATAAGAGGGGAGGGAGAATATTCTCTTTTTCCCAAGGACCCAAGGAGATGAAGGCTTTTATGGTGGATAATGATTATCATTAATTTGGTTTCATTGGGCCAAAGTTCACTTTGGTGTAATAATAAAAATGGAGGAGCTCATATTATGGAAAGGTTAGAAAGGTGTTTGGTAAACTCATCAGCTTTGATTTCATCTCATTTGTTGGTGGTTTGTCATCTTACAAGGGTAACTTCTGATCATTGTCCATTGGTCATTAACTTGTTGAAATCTAAGGTGCCTTCTAAAGAAGTTGTTAAATATGAAGATGTGTGGGTTTCTTATCTGGCTGCTTTGGCTGTGGTGGCTAAAACTTGGTTTTAAAAGGCGATTGGGAGTAATACTAAAATTCTTAATATCAAATTCAGGAGATCATTGAATGCACTATTTTATTGGAGTAAATCCAATCTCAAAGATTTAATGACTTTGAAGGAAGACCTTAAAAGAGAATAATGGAGTTGCAAATGGAAGAGGCTAATGTTGGGGGACTTTCTGCTTATCAAATGCTCTTGTTAAGGGCCAAGGTAATTGAGCTTAATAGTAGTATGACACGGTTGAACATATGGTGGAGGCAACGTGCCAAAGTGAAGTGGTTATCGGATGGTGATTCCAACTCTAAATTTTTTCATGCTTTTATAAATGTAAGATGTAATGGGAATTGGATTCATCAAATCAAAGATGAGAGTGGTGTGGTTGTTGATGATCAATAGAGTATTGAGGATGTTTTCTTCAAATTCTTTCAGAATAAATGGAAGGTGAGGGACTGTGTGCTAGATGGATGGCCATCTCCTATTCAATTGCTGGATGAATTAGACAGGGTATTCTTGGAAGCTGGTGTATCTAAGGTGGAATTTCTAGCCATAGTGAAGCATCTTGGACCCAATAAATGTCCAGGTAATGATGGTATTACATATTCTTTTATTAAGGTGTATTGGGACATTATTGAAGAAGATGTTTGGAATGCTATTCATGACTTTTTAAAGTATGGGAAGATGAATGATGATTGGAAGGAGACATTAATTGTACTTATTCCTAAAATCAATAATCCTATTGTTCCTGCAAATTTCAAGCCTATTAGGGTGCGTTTGGGACAGCTGCAGCTGTCGGTAAAGTAGGTTATAAAATTATTGTATATAAAGTTACTTTCAAAAATTATTGTACATAAAGAAATATATTTTGTTTGGGAAGTATAACTGTCAAGTTGCTGTGCTGCAGCTGTATGAGAATAAAATTACCTTTATACCCTTATATATTGAGATGAAAAAAATGATGAAAATGTCAAATTTTTCAAAAAATTTATATGCTAATAAACCAACAATTCTAAATTAAAAATTGTATTAACTTTGAAATATTTTATAACTTTTAAATATCATAATATTTTTTTTTTTCTATAATGTTTTAGCATATGAAAACCATTCCTCAAAAGGAGAAACGAAAATTTTGAAGCTTTCGAAGACCAGAAGCGTACATGCATAAAGATTTATGGTTGAATTGTGCCCTAAGGTGATACAAGCATTGAAAAACAATAATAATCACAGAAATCACAAGGCCAAAAAAGTTCAACATCGAATCTAATATCCAAAACTACATTCAACGGATAAGAATGAAAATTTTCAATCGTTATGGGAAAAAACATGAGCTCGTGCGCGCCGTTGGCACGGAGAGAAATCAAAAGAGTGTGCCATGAGGGTGAGAAGAGAATGCCAGCGACAGAGACGCCGTTGTCCCATAGAACTGCGGCGAGCATCGAACTGAAATCCTCATCGCCAAGCTTTCCAATGAAGGCGGACAAACCTCCAAGCCGTGATATAGCGATGGAAACATTTGCCGAAGCACCACCGGGGTCGCGAAAGGCGACGGAGATGCCGTATGGGTGAGAAGCGAATGCCGGCGACGGAGACGCCATTGTCCCGTAGAACTACGGCGAGCATCGGACTGAAATCCTCGTCACCGGCAAGTTGGGGTCGCGGAAGGCGACGGAGACGCCGTGTGGGTGAGAAGCGAATGCCGGCGACGTAGACACCATTATCCCGTAGAACTGTGGCGAGCATCGTACTGAAATCCTCGTCGCCGGCAAGATGGGGTCGCGGAAGGCGCCGAAGGGACAAAGGTCGTGAATATTTGTGGGATTTATGTCATTTTTCGGCGGAAAGCAACGGACCGCGGGACTCGGTAAAAGGTTGCGAGAAGCAGCTATGTGCCGTGAATTTTTTCTGCCGCAGTTCTGCCGTGCCCGCCCCAAACGATTGTTTAATAATTTTTTATAAAGCAAAGCAACAGTGACGCCGTCCCAAACACACCCTTAGTCTTTGTAAGGCAATTTATAAGATTGTAGCTAGTATTCTTCTTAATAAATTTAAAGTTGTTGTTCCTAAGTTGATTTCAAAGGAGCGGGTGGCTTTTGTGAAAGGATGTTTATTATCAAATCATGTTTTAATAACTCGGGAGGTATTTCATAAGTTCAGATGTTTTGACTCAAGTAAAGGGCTTGTGACTTTTAAAATTGATATGGAATATGCTTATGATAATATGAGGTGGATGACTTTAAATCAAGTCTTGAGCTATTTTGGTTTTCCTTCTAAATTCTCAAGGCTTATTATAGAATGTGTTGAAGATTATAGTTTTTCTATCTTGGTGAATGGTATTTCTTCTAATTGGATTAAAGCAAGAAGTATTTTTAGGCAAGGGTGTCCCTTGTCAACGTTTTTATTTATTCTATGTTCTCAATTGCTATATTATGAGTTTTTTCATAAAGGAAGTACTATGAGCATTCAGATTTCTCCAATGGGACAGAGGATTTTGTATCTTTTGTACGTTGATGACTTTCTTATTTTCTGGAAGGAAAATGTAAAGATGGTGAAGGAAACGAAGAGCATTGTTGGAAAATTTTGTAAGTGGTCTGGACAATGTATTAATTCTCAAAAGTCTTCTATGTTGTTTGGGAAATATGTCAAAAGAAGGAAGAAGAAAAAAAATTTTGTAATATGGGCTTTAAAACAATGAGGGAAATGGATAATTTAGGAGTTAAAATTTCGTTGAGAAGATTGGTGACTGCAGACTTTCGAAGTAACATTGTTAAAACATTGGGTAAAATCAATACTTGGGGTAATTAATTCATATCCCTTGTGGGAAGAATTGTTCTTATTAAATCAATAGTGCTCTCTTTTCCAATGTTTTTATCTACACATGTTCTATTTCCTAAGGGGTTTTTAATGGAAATAGATAAGTTTTCAGGAAGTATATTTGGCATAAGAATGATGGTTATAATGGGCTTCATTATGTATCTTGGAAGGTTTTATGCTTGCCTAAGAGGTGTGGTGGCCGTGGCTTATATTCTTGTGTAAGCAAAGTGGGTCTTTTACGTGCTAAATTGGCGTGGAAGACTTTTACTAATCTTGAGTTGTTTTTTTCAAAAAAAAATTCTAGCCAAATATGGGTCGGCCAGTTGGGATGGTGAGTTCAAGAAGGGATGTTCTAATTCCTGGAAGATTATCTCAGATGGAGCTAAAGCGTTAGTTCCTATTATAAGTTGGAGAATTGCTAATGGAAAATCTATTAGGATGTTCAAAGACACTGGTTGCTGGACAAGAGGCTGAATGAATGGCCTACTTATGTACCAGGATTTGAGGATAATGAGATCTACTTAAATAAAGTAATTCTAAATGGTGTATGGAATGATTCTAAGCTGGAAAGGTTTTTTGGAGATCAGTTGGTTCAACTGATTCAACAAACCACAATTTAAGATCTGGTAAGTGATCAGCCAGATGGGTTCACGATTACCCGATGAAGGGAAGAAATAATTCATCATCATCCAGCAAAAAAGGAAGCACACGATGAAGGCACAAGCAAGAAATGTATATGGGCAATACCAGAATGAGATCCACCCAATTCAATCAAAGCATAGCTTATCCTCTTCATATTTTTTCCAACCCTTTAACTTGGCTAAAATAGCCTTTTTAATCTATAATTATAGAGAAAGATGGGCATGCATCTCATTCCAGGCCTTCCGGCGTTGTGTAAAGTTAGAGGCATTTTTTAGCTAAAAAAATGCAGTTCACGAATCATCAATGAAATCCATCACTTAAGATAAATATGAGTCTGACATGAAGGAAGAGAATATAGGAAGAAAAAGATGTTAATAAAAGATTAAAAGAAAAACTAAATTAAAAAAATAAATAGTTTATGCTTCAAAAGAGCCATTATATAGGCTGCAAGAAGGTTTAACATGAATATTTCTGCTAATGAGGGCATCATCGGATTTAAGCCCACCAAAAATTACAAGTCAGGAGTAACCAGAGAAGCTTAAGGAATAATGTTTGTGCCATATTTGCTTGCTCCACCAAACATGAGGCCAGCTTTCTATTTGAATTTTGGCTTGGAATTATTCATCCAATAGATGTTGTCAGTCCTAGTAGATAGAATATGGATTTTTAGTATAATAGTTTGCACATGAACAGGGAGGGAAGCTGGTAGGTTCCAGTTACCATTCAAAAGGACCTCAAAAAATTTTTTGGTCTTAGGAATGTTAACTGAATCGTTAAGGATATTGAAGTGTTCTTTAAAGTTTTTTTTTTCCACGAAGCCAGGAGGCCCCAAGGAACAAAAGGTTGCATTCAGGCGTTATCTTAAATGTGAAATGTTTAGTAATGGGGGAGCAGCTAAAGCTTGAAGTCTTTTCTAGCGCTTAGTTGGTTTATGATATTTATTATACCAAAAGGAAAGGAATTTTTCTCTCCACTACTAGCCCAACAAATAATTAGGAGTGAGAGATCTGCTAATCAAAGAGCAACCAAATGCATCAAATAAATCATTAATAGCCGGAATACAAAGGCCATCATACTTGGTAGTTCTGTAAGTGTTTTTTCCAAGTCATTAGGTGGATTTTTTTCAGCATTTATTTCACTATGGTATACAAATTTGGCACATAATTTTTTTAATATATTTAAGGTAAGTTTTTTGTTAAAATTGAGTCTAGATCTAATCAACAATGCAGTTCAACATAAAGAACTTGATGAATTGCATTCTACCATTAAAACAGAGATCTTTGGCCTCCTAAACATTTAGGAGAAGGGTCACTTTTTTTCTTGAGAGGCTAGATATCAGAAACAAACAACCTTCAAGCAACAATAGGAATCCCTAGGTAAGAGAATGCATCTTTATCTTTAACAATATGTAGAACATCACAACTAGTTTGTTGGTTCAGGGTGTTTAGAGAAGTTAAGTGATGTTGCTCTTTGCAGGGTTGATAGAGGTAACAACAGTCTTCGAATTTTCTAAGGATGTAGTTGAGGCTTTGTAAAATTGAGAAGAGATTCTTTGCCAAACACTAAGGTATCATTAGTATAATGAAGATGAGAGAAATGCTCTCTACTAACTCTAATTCCTTCATATGCCTTGGTGAGAGGTATACATGCAGAACTGGGTTTGACTGAGAGGTTGAATGAATGGAGAATGGAAGGGGTTGTTGTCTACTAGAGCATGTGAGGAAGGAGTAATTATTACATGTAGAGACCGGGCGTAGAGCTATTTCAGACTCCAATGAAAATATGAAGTAAACTACTGTATTACTAGGTATTATCGTGTATTGATGTATATTAGTTGTGTGTTGATATGTATTAGTTATGTATTGGTGTGTATTAGTTGCATATTGGCATGTATTACTGTGTAATAGCTAATACATACCAATACATAGCTAATACACACACCAATACACAGTAATACATAGTAATATATCAGTCCACACATCATTTTTTTATTGGAGCCCCAACGTAGCTCCATATCCGATGTCCGTGCGTAAAAATTTCTAATGAGGAAGAGAGTAGTTGCCTGTGAAATATTGAATGGAGATTTGATTTGACAAATTTTATAAATAAAATTGTTCAGAAACTTTATTTGTTAAATAAAAAATTAAAAAAATAATAATAATTTGATTCTAATCATGCGCTTAAGTAATAATTGGCCAGCTAATGTGGCTCGTCCTATTGATGTAACGCCAATCATTTGAGTAGTGAAAGACTGGCCTTCAGATTTTCTTTAAAAAAAATTAAATACTAAACGACTAGCATTCGACTTTAAAAAAAAAAATTAAAGGGGATGTCGTCTGAAGAAGCTAGTCATTTGATATTGTGTTCTAAATTTCATAAATTTTTAGGACAAAATTTTTATTATAATATTTTGATAATTTTTATAATAGAATAAAATGGAGATTTACATACATATCACTTTATTTCATGCTATTTAAATATCTAATATCCAAAACTTTAATATTACAATTTCTAATCTCTTATATAAAATTTAATAATATCAAATATTCACTAACATATTTCATTCTTACCACCCATACCACCCTATAAACTTTAGTATTTCATTCCATACACACATATTTGTTCTATGGGTTGTAGGATGTATTATTAAAAGTTTAGGTGTTAGATATGTAAATAGCATGAAATAAAGTGGTATGTTATAAATCCCAATTTTAAATTTTGTTAATTCTATTTAAGATTACTAAATACTAATTATTTAGCTAGAGTACTAATTTCAAAGAAAATAGAAAAATTTATGCTCATTTTCATATTAAATTACATCATAATATTAACTATATTTTTTATTTAAAAAACAACATAAGTCTATTTTGATAATAGATTTTAAATAAATATAATTTTGATCTTAAAAAAATAGTTTTATATTCATACACTATTAAGTGAATGTTATAAGAAAGCATTTATTCAAATTTTATTTTTAAAAGTTAATTACTCATGACAATTTTTAAAAATCAATATTTTTTAATTATTTTATAGAGCAAATATATTTGAATTAGGATATTTGTTAAATTTGTAATCAAATTAATATCCAATTTTTAGATTTATTTTCAAAAGAATGTAATTTTAATTCTAGGCAACCCAAGCAAGCATATAGAGAGGAATTAGCAGTAGATGGGATACAATAAGATTTTATTTATATTATTTAAAAAATTATATTTTATTATATATAATATATAGATAGATAGATAGATTAGAGAGAGAGAGAGAGAGAGAGAGAGAGTGAGAGAGATAGGAGAGAGAGAGAGAGAGATAATTAAATAGCATAAAGAAATTAGAATCAACCCTAGAAGATCTTTCATTATTCATGCTCGTATCATCTCTTTGCAATTTGCAAGGTAAATACACCAGTATAATATCCGTCGGTTAGTACGCTAGAAATTATCGGCGGAAAATACGCCGCATTATAATATAGGTTTATAGATTGATACGACATTAATAGCAGATAATGCGTTAGAAACTTACCGGCATAATATACGCCGGTAAATTTTGTCGTAATTTAACCGTCGAATAAAACGCCGGTTCGAACACCGTAATTTCCAACGATAGATTTCTGCCGAAAGCTCCGATGGTAATCACGAGTTTTCCTATATTGTTGACAATATTGCTAGTTTTGTACTTTCCCTTGCATGCAACCTAGGCAATACTACATCCTTTATATGTATTATTGACGTTTCAGATGCAACGACAAAGTCGATTTTACGAACAGGTGATGTTCGGTTAACATCATGCAATATTAGGTTTGTAGTTCAATGATTTTGGTCTCCTTCACTCAAATCGATCATGAGATGTTTCTCCTTGGGTAATTTTGATGTTTAGAGCTCAACGACAAAGTTCGTTTTGTAATCAGACATTGCTTAGGTATTTTTTTTTGTGTAGCATAGCATTCGCAAACAATCATGCTCATCATCAATTTCAATCGATTTGAGCATGAGTGATTCCCCTTTAGTAAATTGGATGCCCTTAATTCATTGATGCAATCCATTTTGCGTTTGGACCAATTTTGAGCGATTTTAAACAAGGTCAAGGCATTTCGATGCTCGCCACATATGACCTCGTATCTATCAGTCGTCATTCATGTCACTTTCGCTCGTACCAATTTTGGCATAAATATGAATGTCAACATAACTCACCCCCTTCCCCCATCTAAGTGCCCCATAACACTTTTAGATCCAACCAATGAAACGAGTGAGAAAACCATTGAGTTGTAATCTACATAGGATATGTTCTCAAGAAATAGTGTCAAACTCTTTAAACGCATCAATTTTGCATAGAATAGATGATCATTTTCTATAAAATTGAATTTAGAATGCATTGTTTTAGTCAAAATGGTGTTGTCATATGAAATTCTACCTTTAATAAACACATATTGACTTTGGTGAATAATGGAAGGCATGATAGATTGAATTCTAGAAGAAATATCTTTTATAATAATTTTGAAAATTGTATTGCAAAGGGATATGTTTGTAGTTTGTGATGTTTCCAGCATGAGTAGATTTAGTAATGAGAGCAATGCACATTGATTTGACTTTTTTTGAGATAGCTTTTTTTTTTAAATGTCTAATAGCAGCACAAACCTAAGGCCCAACTATATGCCAAGTGGGGAAGTAGAATGCAAAGGTGTAACCGTTTAGGGCTAGGTGAAGAATCTTTTGGTGCATAGAAGATTGCATTCTTAATCTCTCACAATCACAGATAGGAGCAATAAGGAGGGATAGGTTGTGAGGTAGGATTACATTGTTGGTTGTAATGAAATTATCAATACTGATGTTGAAGGATTAAACAGATGTATGAAATGGGAGATAGCAGCACAAGCAATATCAGATGAGTGAAAGGCTCCTTGATCCATAGAAATTTCTCAACTGACATTATAGTTTTTCCTCCTTTTGATTTTCTCAAATATAAATAAGAAAAATATGTGTTATTAGTGGCCTCACCCATATCTTTAGCCATGCCATTAAGAGAATGATTTAAAGCGTCAATGTTTAAGAGCTCAAAGCATCTAACTTGATAAGCTTTTAAATCTTTCAACTTCAAAGAGATGGAATATGGGGAAATTCTAATATTTTCCTTTAATGTGGTCTTTTAGCAACTTCACTTTAGAATATAGAGAATTGATAGGGTCATTGTTGTTATTTTTGCTATAGAAATTTGCGTAAAGAGCATGGACTAATAATTCTTAAATTGAGGTCTCTTATTGGTTTTGGGAATTTGTTGGGTGTGAATGATCAAACGAGAGTGATCAGAGCATATTGGGCTTTCAACTCTATAGTAGGAGAATGGAAAAGTGTAAGGTATCATTAACAAGCACCGAGTCTAATTTTATGCAAATTGGAGAGTTATTTAGGTTGTTAAACCATGTGAAATAAATACCAATAGAAGTCAAGTCTTCTAACGATGTATCAAAAATCATACTATTAAAGTCTCATATCTTATAGTTAGAGATCAGGTATGCCCCTCATTTTTCTCTTTATGGTGACTATAACAATTGAAGTCACCTATAATAGACCAAGGTTTGAATGTGGAGGCAACATCAAGCCTAATGTCTTTAAGAGCATTCTAAAGTTTTGCTCTTTCAGTGTGTAGGTTTGAAGCATAAACAATAGAGAGGAGAAAAGAAGTAGAGTCAACCAAAGAGAATTTCACCATGTTTTATTTGACAATTAGCATATTTTGCTTGAAAGTGAATAATGGAAGCATTCCACTTCAACCAGATTCTTCTTGAATTAGAAAAAGAAAAATTGTTACAACTTTCTTCATTTTAGAAGAGTTTATGGTTATGGAGAAACCAAATATCAAAAAGATGATAATCATTAGTTTTTTCCTCTAAAATGCATATAAAGATAAGCTTAAAAGACTAGATAAGACTTTTGTTGTTGAGGACTCTGTCAAACCTATTAAAATTTCTTACATTCCAAGAAGCAAATGATGGAGAGTTCATTGGAATTTTGGGTTATTGTTGGCCTTAGGGATGTTGGGAGGTTTCAAAGAACTAATTAGGTTTCTTGAGCTGATTTGAAAAGCTTTTGGTTAAGATCAGGGATGTGTTCTTATAAGAGTGAATAGTTATCAAGTACATACGAGAGGGAAAAAAATGTTGTGATTTATAGTAGGTTGCTAATGGGTGGCTAATGTTGGCGAGTTTTTTATAGAGGGTTTGAGTAGAAGGAAGGCTATATCATGAGGGGGTTGGCAACTGGCTTTAGTGGAAGGCTGTGTGATATGAGAGGTGTCAGTGTGATTTGTTATGCTGCTTGGAGATTTCATAGTTTGGTTCATAATTACGGAGGCCAAAAAAGGTGGTTGTTGGATATAGGTTTTTTACTTTTGCTTCAACCCCTGTGGTTGAAGGGAATAGGTGCATCGAAGGAGCCAAGAGGATAGAAGTTTTGAGGATGAACCATGGATCCATAGGTGGGGCTTGGAAAAGGTTTCCAATCATATTCTATAAAAGAGTTTGAGGTTTACCTCGGAGGAAAATAGGATTTTTTTTTTTTTTTTTATAGGAAAATGTGTAGTTTTATTGATTTGAACATAAACACATGCAATTGTTGGACAAGTTTTATCTATAGTTAAGGTATCTACAGTCAGTGGAGATCTAAGCTCATAATTTTAGAGATTCTTGCATGGTTCCAACAGCTTAAAGAGTCATCTTGTATTTGGATCTAGAGAGGGAGGGTGGATAACTCTTCTCTCTTATGTCTAAATTTTGGGGGACCTTTTTTTTGTAAGAAGAAAGGTTTGAAAAAGAAAAACCAATATCCCTTGCACCAAACCATTTCATAATCTTCAAGGGATTAGGAATTGAAAAGAAAAAAAACCTATCATTCGAATAGAAGAAAGGTAAAATACCATTCATATTCCGCATTTTTTTGTGGCGACGAGCAATGCCTCATGATAGGGCTACATGCCAATAACATATCCAACCAATGGAAGAACCCATTGATTGGACAACCAAACCCCCCCCCCCCCCCCCCCCCCCCCACTGAGAGAATGATATTATGTTGTGATAGTATGTTACTCATCAAAAATGTTGCAACCAACGAGCTTCTCACAAAGATAAGAGTTTTTTTAGTTTAGAAATGAGATTTAGGGGTTTGAATGAAGGGTAGGTTAAATGATTTGATTTGGTGGTTTTCAATTTGCTAACAATTGTACTGAGGGAATTCTAATGTTATGAGCAAGCCAGATTTAAGCACCTTTATGGAGGGTACTGGGGAGCTGCTTTTAAGAGGGCTTTCAAGGGATCATAAGAGGTGGAGTCCCTCCAACAAAGCCGGAGGAGGGGGCAACTCAGGTGCAACAAGGGTGAGGGCAGCTAGGGTTCTTAGAAGGCAGCCTCAACAAAAGCTTTAATATAAGTTATTGAAGTTATTAGGTACAAAATAAAATGTATAGAAAATTTTATTAATATGAATACAAAGCATCTTATATTATTCATGCTAACATTCATAATTGAGTCTAAACATATTCATAATTAATGTCATATCTCATGTGAAATAGAATTTTTATTAAAGATAATAATATAAGATCTTATACTTTTGGTGTCCTTATTATCAAAGGAGACGTTTGCTTTAAGTAAAAAAAAAAAAATTTAATATATGTTTATATTATAGGAAAAGATAATAAAGAAAAATATCTGAACAGAAATAAATACTGAAGAAAACTGATAACGCTGATAAAATTTCAAAAACTACAACACATAGAAACAGCCTTCGAGTCACTGAAAAAAGCTGCAAACTATCACCGCAAGCATATTATTACATAATAAAGTTCAATAAAATAAAGATAAATCAGGAAAGAAGGCTGTTTTCCAGACAGTTCAGAAATAGCCGTGTTCTTTGAAGATAAAGGTTTCAAAAGCTTAACTTCATAAGCTAAACCTTCCGGATCTGGATATTATGCGTGGACTGTGATCTCCATATGGGTTTTCTACCGCTCTGAACAAGAGCAACCTGCTCACCCTCCTTGACCATTCCTTGTTTCTGTATATTCAGAAGAAAACATGAAAGTTAGTGCAGTATAGCAAGTCTAATGTACGCAACAATGTCATCAAAGTAGGATGGAAATTGATGAAATAGAGAAAGTGTTTTTTTGTAAGCTTTTATAGAGCTTAATGGAGCACTAGACTGCATTTCAGCTTACGATTACACTAAGAGAAGCTAGTATAACTTTATTTGCATCCATCTTAAGTAGTGGTATTCAATTGATGGATAAATAGTTGCTATTTCACATGCTTTGCAGCTAAACAACAATCAATCAATAAGACTGACTTAAGCTTTATCCTAGAAGGTATTAAAGAAGCTCTAGCTTGAACAGAATATGCTCTGATTCTCAACGTAGAGGCTACAGATAGGCTCTAAATATAGGAGAAGGGCATGCGATCTTCAACTAAATATTACTAGCTTCACGAGTGAAATTATGTTTGTACTTGTTTTGTGCTTTCCTTATTTATAACTGGCATCATGCATATTTATTTGTAAGTAACTTTATGCCCTGCTTTCAAATAATTAAATATTTATGATTAATTTTAATCCTTAAGATAATGAATCAAACATAGTGAGCATCTAGTGCAAAAGACTTTGATACATCAATATATAGATTGAAAAAAAAAAATTAATAAAGCGTTACTTGCAAACTCCATGGTACCTACAACAGTAAATCATAAATTAAGGCTTTGTTTGGGACGTCTTTCTTGCTGCTTATTAAAGAACTTTTTAGTTCAATCATTAAATTTTTTTACTAGAAAGCGGGTTTAAGAAGTAACAAAAAGCCGTCCCCAACAAAACCTAAGTTATCAAAGGATAAATAGCCAACTTTTACCAGCTTTATGTAAGCTAAAGGAATAAGTGAAGTCACATGATTCAAGAAACCAAACTTAGCATCTGTCTTTTAGCATTGTGCTTTGAATAGAAGTTCCCATGGCTCGACAAACCAAACTATTAACATGACTGGTAGGTTTTAGCAGTCTTTCAGCATTTTATTTTTAATTTTGTAATTTCAATTAGCCTGAATAAACATTTCTTCAGCATCATTCGCCATTTTGCCTGACCATATAGTGTCAGTCTTGTTAAACATCCCCTTTCATTATTGTTAAGTACTTCACAGAGTGTTAACAATAAGACAAATCTTTTAGCACAGCTTCTAGTCATGATAACGTGGACCTTCCCCTTGTGCTTACTAGTCCTTATATAATAATTCTATATATCTAACTTATTGGTATATATTTTAGCAACTTCTTCATTGCCCATCAACCCCCATACATAATTATCTAATTACAAAATAAAATTTACTGTCAAGTATCCATAATATCTTTACCGCCTTCTTCGAATATTTCTCTATTTTAATCATGCAAATTAAGTCTAAATTTTAAGTCACCATCTATATACTTAATATTTTGTTATAGTAGATTCAATGTACTAAACCAATACTCCAATATATTGCTTTAGTATGCAAAATAGATAATATTTAATTAGCAAAATCAATCAAAAATATTCCTTTTCTTCATAGAAATAGAACTGTATTGGGTGAAAATGAGAGTAAATTGCTTGAGCAGAATCCCAAAGGTCCCAAAGGTCCTTCCTGTTAGCAACTATGATAAAGCTGTTGTAGATAAGCAAGCCAACTTATCACTCTGTTAGCTCCACTAACTACAGCAGGGAATCATTTCAGTAGGATACCACATTCCATAATAGTCACTTAGCCAATACCCTTCATCCTTCTGTAACTAACTTAACATAATATGTAAATGATCATTCTGAAACCGTAATGAACTGAAAAATACATTCTCCTGTATTGCATTTTCCCCTGTATTGCATTTTCCCTCTGTTCTTCTCTGTTTTCTCCTACTCACAGATTACTTCATGGTATCAGAGTTATAGTCTTAAGAGCCACGTTACTGCTCACATCAATGGCAGACAGCCATATTTCTTCATCTCCGCAAGCATCGTCAAATATTGCAACTACAAATGATTTCAGTATTCCAGCTCCATTAAAATTTCTTTTCTCAAACATCAAGCACGTTGTCAATATTCAACTTACCAATGACAATCATGCCATATGAAAGCTTAAAGTTGTCAAAATTTTTGCTGCAAATTGCTTTGATGGCTTTCTTTCAAGCTCTAAGACATGTCCTCCAAAACATCTCTCTTCCTCCACTGGTGACATTACACTCAATCCACATTATCAAATGTGACAGCTCACCAATCAAAATCTAGTTGTTGCATTATTTTCTACCATCTCACCTTGAATTCTCCAATATGTTCTAACCCTATAAACCACTCATGAAATCTGGGTCACATTTGAGAAATGGCTACAACCCACAAATCATTCAAGAGTAATTCAACTCAATAATGAACTTCATCACATTACCATGAAAGATATCACTGTCACTCAATACCTGGTGCAGATTAATTCATTGGTGGACAACATAGTAGCAGCCGGATTTCATATAGACACCAAGGACATTATCTTATACATTTTAAACGGATTGCCTTCAACCTACAATGCATTCAAGACTGTTATTCGCACATCCCTCACTCTTATTAGCTTGGATGATCTTTAATTATTCTCTTCTATGCAGTGAAGAAATAAATATCCATAACGATTACACTAAAGAAGTCATTATTCCTGCAGACTCAACAGCCCTTCATGCATTCAATGGCTCCTCCTATCGGGTTCATTCAGCTGATTCCTTCAGGTCAGGTCGTGGTCATTCCTTTGCAGCAAAATCCTCCTCACAAAGATACTTCAACTCTACCGGTTGTGCACCTCGCTTTTCTGCAACTCCCATAATTATCTGCCAAATTTGTGGCAATACTGGACACTCTACCATCAATTGTTGGCACCGAAGCAATCTCCAGTACACTCCAAGCAACTTCAACCCACCAAGTGGCCTCTTCACACCACAGCACTTTTCTCCTCCAACTGATTGGTACTTGGATTTGGGTGCTTCTTCCCACCTTACCTCCGATGCTACCCACTTACAACAACCTCAACAATATCATGGCACTGATAGTATCTCCATCAAGCGGTCAAGGTCTTCTTCCATTACCTCATACACCACGTAAGCTCTACCTCCAAAATCTACTTCATGTACCATCTCTCACCCACAAACCTTCTCTCCATTCACAAGCTTACAGCTAATAACAATTATTTTATTTTCTTTGATTTTTTTGGCTTCATCATAAAGGACAACTTGACCAACTAACCAATACTTAGTGGTCGAAGCCGTGACAACCTCTACTCCATTCCATCTCCGACAACTTCAACACTTCACACTTATCATCCTTCCACATCTCTCTGGCATGCATGGTTGGGACATCCATATCATCAGCTTCTTCAGACATTAGCTAGACGGAACTCTGCTATCTGTATTGCAAGTAATTCTTTTTTATGTAACTTTTGTAATGTGGCTAAAAGCCATAAAATATCACCTCCTCTCATCACCTCTTTTTATGTTACTCTTGTAATGTGGCTAAAAGTCCATGTTGTTAGAAGTCTACTGCAACTTGCTGGTGTGCGACACATGCAAAGTAGGTGGTTCATTGAACCTTAATCTCTAGCTTGCCTCTCGTATATAAAAAAGTTGCAGGTGACTATCTGTGCAAGTAAATAGTCTGAGACAAGCATCGAAGAGAGTAACCTATATAACAGCCTAGAAAAAACTAGTAAACCTAAGGAGCTTCTTAAAAAAAATAAAAACAGAAAAGAGATTTCCCAGTTTCCTCTTTGCACGACCAATTTTGTATGATTAGTAAACACAGGGAAGCAAATGTTTATAACACATAGCACCCAAATTTCAAGTATTTATTTACTAAAGAAATTGTGCTAAACATTTACTAAAAAAGAACTAATCCTATTCATTTTTTCAATAATTGAAAAAGGACCAAGGTTCCAGAATCGAAGTCCACAAAATTGATGGTTTACACTGCTATTTATGCGACCTTGAAATAAAATCAACCCAGAGGAGATAAAGAAGTCTGTAGCTTAAATCACCTGCAAGTAAGAAAGGGCCTCTGTGAATGTCTTCTCAGCATCTTCTGAAAATTGCAAATATATAGGGCAAATCCCTTGGTACAAGGCCAATCTCTGTCTCACTCTCTCCCTAAATGGCCAATGCATACCATTATCAGTACTTGTAATTTCAGAACTAGTTATGACAATGAAAAGCATGAGAGAATTTACTAAAATAAAATATCTTTTATGAATATTATCACACATTTAAAACCTAAAAAAGTTGGATACGCACTGATCAGTGAAAGCAAATATGGTGCCGCAAGGCCGATAATGGCTCAATAGAATTGCCATAAATCCACTTCTTGTGAAGACAACAATTGATGTTCCAAGAGTATTTGACATTATAGTTGCATGGTAAGCAAACATTTCACTTGTGTGATTCTACATAATAAAAAACAAAGTTTAGGTACACTATCATATGATGAGGAAAAACAAAGAAAGAAATCATTATAATGATGAAAAATAATAAAACAATTATACTTCCAACCTTGAAAGCCTGCCCAAGATTAGTTGGTTTTTCACCTCCAACTATAGTTGCTTCAGTCCTTAAAGCTACTGTATGCATGACCTTCACTGCTTTCAGTGGGTATCTACATGACAACAAAACCAGGTGTCAGTTTTGACAATCCCAATGACCAAAACTAAATTGATTTGACAGTAGTTATTTTTTTATAGTTTTCTTATCTCCATTCTTGAGCTATTAGATTCAGATAGAATGTCAAATATAACAGGATATTTAGGAGGATAAACACTCAGACAATGCTTCTTGGCGTTGAGATATTCATGCATAAAATTATCAGTTAAAGGGTGGTCATGTAAATACGTATTATGAACAGATTGACTGAAACTACATAAAAATAGAGATACATAGGCACAATTTCTTCTATGAAGATAGAAGGAAAAGCTTTAACCATCATAAAAGAAGCCAGAAAATTAGATCACAGGAGAGTTTTCTACACTAAAATAGCATTAAGAAAGCAAGAACAGAAATCTCTATATGATTTAAGAAGAAAAGTACGACACCTAAAATTAATTACTGAATGAAGTTTAATATTCAAAGGCTGTCTTTGAAATTTGTTATCTAGAAATGAAAGCATGCTGGAAATAGAATCAAGATTGCTATATGATATTCTCTCCATCAGGCATCACAAAAAATAAAATAAAAAAGTTGAAGATGTCAGCGTTTGTCTAAACGTTTCAATCTGACACAGGAAAAAGGCAGCAGGGTATATTATTAAGCAATGCAGGCTATCCAGACAATTATAATATTGAAGTGGATGGGGTAATAGATGATAACTATCTGCTGATGAAAACAAAGCAGTACGAAGAATAAATAATCTCCTATTTGATGGTATATAATAGTGGAATTCTCTGACAAAGCTGAAATTGAAATTGCCATACTTTCCATGAGCAGTTTCTCCAGAGAGCATCACAGCATCAGAACCTTCACGAACTGCAATGGCAATGTCCGATACTTCAGCCCGTGTAGGCGTTGGATGAACAATCATACTCTCCAGCATGTTCGTTGCCACAATAACAGCTTTTCCCATACTTCGGCAAATTCTAATAATCTCTTCCTGCAATTCAAGAATTTTAGAATTAAAATCTCATTGGGGGCATTTCTTCAAAAAAAAAATTTGGGTAAAATAGAATTCTAATCTACCCAAATTGACATGTTTCAGCTTTAATTTTTGGGTAAACAATAATGGTCCACAAACCAAGGTAAAATTTAAATCCACGGAATAATAGGTTTCAAAACAATGGCACGACAAGCTTAAGTTTATAAGCAACTCCCCGTTTCATGCCCTCTTAGAACTCAAGCCACCATAATATGTAAAAGGGTTCAATCACTAAATTTTCAAGTCAAGACAATCCAAACTCAAATAAAAACCAGCTTTTAACATCCCAAGTTAAAAAATCTGAAATTTTTGCCTTCCCATGATGAGTCAAATCAATGTCATGTGGTTACTTGCACTCAAGCAAGTCATTCAAGCCATTTTAGAAAGAATCCCATGTTGCCCATTTTCCCAAAAAGACAAATCCTACACACAACCACCATAATGTCTCAATGACTATCCATGTCCTTAAAAGCTCCATAGCCCAAAAAACAAGCCAATGGTCATATATTCGTACATAAATTGATCAACTTCGTTGCATGCACCTACATCTTTTGAAATTTAGAAAAACTTCTATAAAACTCAAAAAATTATAAAATGTAGTGAATAGCGTATTCTCCATTAGCTCTACCAATAGTAAAACTTCCTCTATTCAACACTCGAAATTCAAATTTTCTCTAATTTTTTATTTTATAAGTTTGCTAAACATTTCAAAGTTCGTATGAGAGCTTCCCCTCACCAAACTATGCCAAAGTTGACTGCAAAAAAATTATTTCTGGGGTTGTGGAGCTTCTAACGACTAGGAGAGAAGCCACCTCGCACCTATACCCACCTCTAATAAAATTTTCAAACAAAAATTCCATCTTCTCAAAATCTAGGTTTTTATAAAATCATCAAAAAACCAATACACCTAATCTTTTAACCAAATTTATGAAAATCTCAAGCCCAAATTTCATCAGGTCAAAATCTAAACTTTCTAAAATTAGCAAAACAGCACTTCCTATATTCTTCACCCAAACAGCATGAAGATCCATCATCCTTTCAGGATGAGGCTAAATATACTATCAGTCTATCACTCTATATTGAATACCATATTTTCCATTGCAACAAGATCCACATAATTGACTACCCAATGTTATATAAAATACTTATAATTTTACTGGCCCCCTACTCCTCAAAGATGAGGTCAAAATATAACTTCAAGACAAGCCAAAACTAACAGCTCCAAAATGAATGGAAACTATAACCCCACTCCCAATCTCCACCATATCAAATCTGTCTCACTATATTAAATGCTTCTAAATCAAATGTTCCCCCTTCAATCATCCATGACAAGGTTAAGCTACTCTTTCAATATGAGATTATACTAAAATTTCAATCAAATAACTCATCATCAATCTTAGTTAGATCTAATATCAACAACAAAAGGTGATTTTTGCCCTTGATTGGATATAAGATCAATGGCATGACTTAGGGCCGTGTGTGAATCAAACTAAGCCAAGTATTAAGTTGTTTAAGCCATGGTTTAAAATTGCGCAATATGAGGCCCGCCTTTGCGCAATTCCAGTAAAAAAAGCCTCGAGTTTTTTTATGAGTCTTGCGCCTCAACTTGGTTAAGGCCCGCCTCACCTCACTGGCTTGAGGCTTACGCCTCACGCTATATATATTAAAACTTACATAAATCTTAAAGTAAATGCCTGACATTGGACTCTATAGGAGAGGAGGAAGGGGAGAGAGCAGTTCACCATAATGCCCCTTAGTGATGACAGTGCTGATGACTTGATTGAGTTCTTATCTGATATGTCTTGCTATGCTTATTTTTGGAAATTGAATTATAAGTTAATGAAAGAATACTAGGATTTGGAAAAGATAGAATTTTGAATTGAACTATATTTCATGTTGTCTTATTGTTGAGATATTTTGATTTCACTTCATATCTTATGCTTTTTTTTATGTTTTATTTATTCACTCATTAGTATATAAAAATTTATTATTTTATGTTTACGTAATCTTTTGATTTTGAGGCTTACGCCTTGAGGCTTACGCCTCGCCTCAAGAACAAAAAATGCATCAATACCCGAATACGCAATTTTAAACATTGGTTCAAGCTCATTTATTTATCTTTTTATCGAGCTCAAGCCGAGCTGTTCAAACTTATTATTTTAATTCTTATCGATTTTTAATAAATGCTAATAATATAAACAATTAAAGTTGAAAGACGTGAGACTTATAAGTCAAGCAATCTTGCTAAAGAATTCTTGGGCATAGAGATTAATGATTTCTAACATTGGATTGATGTCTATATATTTAGATTGCAATTTTGTGCCTCACCTTTACCCGCCAACCTCTTGTAGGGACTTTTTTCTTTTTTTATATAATTAGCTTTAATTTATTTTCATTATAGTATATAAATATATTATATATATATATATATTATATATATAATTATATATATATATATACATACTTCCAAACTTTGTACAAAATCAAGCAAAAAAATTCAAATTAATTTTTTCATAATTCTACTTTCCTACAATTAGACTTACTAGTAAAAATAAATTTATTGATACTTTTTTTATCAAAATTGACAATAAATAACTAAACATTATTTATAATGTATTATGAATTAAAAAAATAGATATTTAATCTATCCATCTACACATTTGTTCAGTATTCTCATTATCAATTGTTCTATAAAAATAAAATTAGCTTTCTAATAGATCCATCAGGTTATTTATTTAATATTTTTATACCAAACATTAATAAAAAAAAAATTGATTTTTAAAATATCCATCTAGTTGTTTAATCAACATTTCATCATATGTATACTTCTACTCATATAAATAACATTTGAAGTTCATAAAATATATGAAAATTGATTTAATAATAAAAAATAAATTATGAAAAAATAGCTAAATCATCATCAAATGAGTATTTAATCGAGCTCATAGTGAGCAATTCGTTAACAAATGAGTATGTTCATAAATGTAAAAGAACAAGCGAGCCGCTATCCAAGCTTATTCATTTATATGTAGAGATTTAAAATGTGTTTGAGCTTAATCAGTTATCTAAATAAATAGGCATAAAAGAGATTTGCCTTAGAAATTATCGGTCTTTTCATCAAAAGCACCATTCTTATAGTCCTAGGCATTAAGTGATCTTCAACCCTAATTGAATCTAAAATCAATGGCATGAGGCAATCTTCAACCAAAATAAAAATTAAATAAAAAATTAAATAAAAAATTAAAAAATGAGGCAATCTTCAACCACAGCCAAATACAAGATCAGTGGTACGAGAGAGCATAAACCCATATCAGATCAATGATATGAGAATGCTCTTCAACATGACCAAGATACAAGATCAACAAAATAAGGTTATTTTCTACCAATTAGTAAAGTGCTAGATAACGAAAGAAGCAAAATGAAGAAAATCATTTTTTCATTAGATTTTTTTTTCTTTAATCTTCCCTTTCATTCTTATTCTTCTCTACAGGAACCAACAGAATTAACAACTTCCCATCTTACAGAGGACAAGCAGCAACAACAACAACATTAAGCCTTTATCCCACTACAGAGGACAAACACAGATAAAAAATAAACATTTTCACCACCACTCCCTAATCCATCCAGAGCAAAGACAACATAATCCTCTCCATTCAAGTACTGGAGGATTTATTGAGATTATGTGTTTTGGATTTCAAAGGTAGCTGGGAATATTACATACCATTGATAGAATTTGCCTACAACAACAGTTACCAATCCAATATACAAATGGCACCATATGAAGCACTTTATAGTAGAAAATACAGAACCCCCTTAACTTGGGTTGAGGTAGGAGAAAGACAGTTAATGGGTCCAGAACTGGTGGAGGAAGCAATAGAGAAAATCAGATTAATTAGAGACAAATTAAAAGCTGCTCAGGACTGCCAGCAAAAGTATTATGACCCCAAGCACAGAGCAGTAGAGTTTGAAGTGGGTGACTTTGTATTCTTGAAGGTTAAGCCTATGAAGGGTACAGCTAGATTTGGTAAGGGAGGCAAATTGAGTCCTAGGTTTATTGAACCTTTTGAAATTGTTTAAAGAATTGGAAAAGTTGCTTATAGACTTGCTCTTCCAGCTGACATGTCAGATATACATAACGTTTTTCATGTGTCACTGCTAAGGAAATGGGTTACAGATGCCCATCAACGAATCTTACATGATGATATTGAGCTACAGAAGAATCTGACTTATACGGAAGCACCCGAAAGAATACTATATTTTGATAGTAAACAGCTCAGAAATCGTCAGATTCCTTATGTTAAAGTAAAATGGAAATACATATCAGAAAAAGAGGCAGCATGGGAGAGAGAAGAAGATATTAAACTTAAGTTTCCTCAATTATTTGACAACAACTAAGACACTGAATTTCGAGGACGAAATTTACAACAGGGGTGAATTGTAATACTCTCAAAATATTTAAAATAATGTAAGCTTCAATTTCCTCTAACTTCCTCTAAATGTTAGCTTATTTTTATATACATTCCACTTTAATTCCAAGCATTTTTGACATATAGAAGTATATGTAAATTAACAAACTAATTGTTTAATTGATCGTGTTTAGTTACAGTTAATGGTTTAAATGACAGCTAGATTAAAGGCTAAGTATTAGTAAATTATTTAATGGTATGTACTTCAATTACTGTAGCAATTCCACTCAATTACTGTAGCAATTCCACTTAAATCGGCATGCATGAAGCTGATGGAAATCCTAGGGCTGGGAATGGTTGAGAAGGTTTAGTGGAATTTTAAGTGTTAATATCATTTTAATAGTGTGATTTATTCTGTGGAGACATTAGCTTCTTTTCCCCACCCGTCCCTCCTTCGACATCGAAAGCCAGCTTCAAGCTGAGTAGCGGGAGCCACTTGTTGAGGCTGCTGCTGTGAGATGCTTTGAAGGAAGATTTTAGAGAATAAATTTC